CTGCTATATTCCTATTGTCTTGTTTTGAAGTCCTGCATTGCTTTCATTGTTTTGGCTTTAATTGGTTTTATTCTGTTCTGTTTGAATTTATTGTGCCTGATGGTATAGGAAGTTATTTTGAAGATACCAAGAGGCATCATGGTAGCCATTGTCGGTTTCCTTTTATCTTGTTTTGAAGTCTTGTATCATACTCATTGTTTCGTTTTATTGCCTCCATTCTCTTTTATTCTCTTCAAAACAAAAAACACTAAAAAGAAAGAAAAGAAGAAGTCTCTAACGTCTATAGTTTCCAACAGTCTCACACACCGTGGGAGATGCTATGGTCTGCATCTTAAGCATTCCTCAAGAGCTCATGTGTTAAAGGCTTGATTCCCAGACTGTGCCACCACAGTAAGCCAGTGGCACCTTTAGGAGGTAAGTGGGAGGGCACAAAGTCATCAGAGGTGTGACTTCAAAAGGGATGATAGGATGAACCCCCAACTCTCTCTCTCTCTCTCTCTCTCTCTCTGTCTCTCTCTCTCTGTCTCTCTGTCTCTCTGTCTCTGTCTCTGTCTCTCTGTCTCTGTCTCTGTCTCTCTGTCTCTGTCTCTCTGTCTCTATCTCTGTCTCTCTCTCTGTCTCTGTCTCTCTGTCTCTATCTCTGTCTCTCTCTGTCTCTCTCTGTCTGTCTCTCTGTCTCTCTCTCTCCCTCTCTCTCCCTCTCTCCCTCTTTCTCTCTCCTTCCTGGCCACCATGTCATGAACACATTTGTTCCTCCATGTGCCACCTGCCATGATGGCTGGCCTCACCACAGACCAGATCAAAACAAAGCCTACAAACCATGGACTGAACCTTTGAAACCATGGGCCAGAATAAACCTCTCCTCGTTTAAACTGATTGTCTGAGGTATCACAGCAATGGAACATTAACTATCAAATACAAAGAAAGGCACAGTTGGCATCAGGGTATAGATGGGAATCAGATGCTGCCCATGCTTAGCAAGGGACAGGTGAGTTTCAGGCCGGGGTGAGGGGTAAGGTCTCCAAATCTGTGACAAATACTCCTCCTCTACTGTAGCTTACTACTTGGGATTTCACTGGCTCCTCCTGGTTTGTTTGGGAGGTTTTTTCCCAAATAAGGAAATACTTAGTGGCCACATCCCCATGTGGCCACATCCACATCCCAGCCAGCTTTCAGAGCTCAAGGCAGTTACTAAAAGAAAAATTAAGCAAAGAATGTCCTGTACCCTATCAAATGTACCCTCAGTCCAGTGTATGGCATGCCCACCACATTCCTTGTGCCAACACAGGAAAGCGGTGAAAACAGAGCTTCAAATCCCATCTCATTTTCCTCTCCTAGTCCAGGTCAACTCTCATTTCCCTTAGCTAAGGTGTTAGATTGTCCTTCTCCCTCCTCCTCTTCAAGTACGATTTTGTAAAACATCATGGTGCCTCCATTCATGAACTCAGTTCTCTCCATGATTCTGGTCACAAGCCAAATTGGATGAGAACCAAATCCAATTTCTCCATAAACTCAACACTGACCCTATCCATTAAATTTGATTTGATTCACAAGTGGCTGGTGGGCACTTGGGTTGTACTCACTATAGCTGAAGGAATGTATTTCTTATTTCATTCAATTTAAATTAACTCAATTTTAAACTTAAAAACTGATCACTTGATTTAGTTACTGGAAAATTCATGTGTATATGAAACAGTTTCTTCAACTGTAAATGTTATACAATCTAAATACATGTCTGGCATTTCCAAGGAAAATTTAGGGTCTGAATTTAGATGTCCTAGGTCTAAAATACACATCAGATTGGAAGACTAGTAGGGAAAAAAAAGTGTATACTATTCATTATTAATTTTTTATGCTGACACAGGTCAGAATGATATTTTAAATATATTGTTTCAATAAAATGCATTATTAAACTCAGTTTGACCTATTTCTTTGCTTACATTTTATTTGCTATTCATTTTATTATATATTGGCAAATTATAATTATATATTTATGAAGTATAAAGTGATGTTATGATTTTAAAACAATGAGATGATTAAGTAAAATGAATGAACCTATCCAACACTTCAAACAGTTGACATTTTTTGTGATGAGAGGATTTGATATTTGCTCTCTTGGAAATGTTCAGTGCTCAGTTATTAGCTGCTGTGGTTCATTCACACTAAAACTGTTGAAATTTGGTTATTAATGTACAGGTGCTGGCAGGTAGGGCTGATAAAGGCGCCAAGGTTTTGAGAGATGGGATTAATTCCTGCAGTCACTGGCTTCTTCCCTCCATTTCTAAACTGCCCAACCCACTTGCCCACTCTCTCTTTCCCACACACCTGCTTGACTTCCACTCCCCACCCTGAGTTCAAGCAGCAGCTCCCAGAAGCCCAGCAGACACATCCAGTTGACCTCAGGCCTCCAGCCTGCAGAACTATAAGCTAAATAGACCTCATCTCTTTACATTCAGCCCTGGGTAATCCGCTATAGTCGTAGAAAACAAGCTGAGGTATAGCTGTATTCATCGCACCGTGTGAAGGATTGTTTTTAAAATCTTAAACTTATTTCTCCTATTGGACTGAGGTTGTACCCCTTGGATGACCATCTCCCCATTCCCTCCATCCTCCATTTTCATATATGCAAGTGTGGCTCCTGGAAAATTCCTGGTTGCATATTATTGTTCTATTGGTTTGCTACTACAGGTGTTGAATGTCACCAGAGATGGTACTGGGTAGTACTGTAGTCCTGAGCTCCATTTATCACTTGCTCTCTCCCAAGACCAAAAGATTGCCCCAAGCCATTCTCCAGCTTCAAATTATGATCTTCACATTAATAATCAGTGCATCCCAACCCATCGTCACTCTTAGCACCCCTCCCAGAATTCTTTGCCTGCTCAAACCCACCCCACACTTGTCTCTTCCAGAACTTCTAAACAGCCATTTGCCACTATGATCCCACCCTCCTTGTAGCCATTTCCCGGTTTTTTCCCTTAGCATCACTCTCTGACCTTCGCTAAACCATGCCTGCCCCATCATTGGTGGACAGGGGAAAGGCCATCCCATCAACAGCCTGTTCCACTAATACCGTTGCTTGGCCTTCACTCCATGCCATTCCTGCTGAGGCTACTTCACTCACCGGTTTTCTCCACTATCCCCCTTTCTTTTTGTACCGCTGACCCTTCTCAGTGACCTGTGTCTAAGAAAAGGACAAGGATCTGCTCAGAGGTCCACTATTAGCTACTGCTGGGAAGAACATCTTGAAAGAGAAATAGAACTAGGCAGAGAATGAATTTAACTGAGATGTTTCCACAGAGGCCTTCAGGAAACTGCGGAGCTGGGTGGTCCTTCAGAATCCCCCGGGATGGAAACAAGGAATTGCACTTTGTGTATCTGTGCATCAACCAACTGGATCCAAACCCAGACACCCAATCCCTGAGGCAAACACACCTGTCAGGCGGAAGGGTTTACTTTGGCTCACAGTATCAAAAGGTTTCTGCCATGGTCACTTGGTCCTTTTTCTCTGGGCGTGTGGTACACAGAATGCTGTGGCACAGAGCATGTGACACAGCAAAGCTGCTGGCCTCATGATGGCCAGGAAGCAAAGAAAGAGGGGAAGGGCTGGGTGTCCCAGTGTCCCCTTGAAGGGCAGCTCCCAGTGACCTGACGTCCTCCCACTAGGCCCCACGCCCTCAGGTCCTGCCCCTCCCAGCAGCACCCCAGTTAGTGACCGAGACTTCAACATTTGCGTCTTTGAGTAATAATCAAAATGAAAACCTTAACAAGTGGCAGTCTGGCTTCTACAACTTACCACTAAGTAAATCCAAATTTCCAACCTAAACCTATTTTCTTGGGCACTCTCCTTCTTGGTATCATGTCAAACTTCCCCTTTCTCCTGCGCTCTGTGACTCTCCTTCATGGTCTCTCCTGATGGCTTCCACTTCGTCTATCACCTCCTTTCCTCCTTAGACCCAGGTCCTGTCTTCTTTACTGTACTCTCCCTACATCTCACTCCTGTTAGCCCAGCTTCTTCCAAGCAAATACAAAATCCTCATCTCCTGCCTCTCTGTTAAAACTTCTAGACTCACCCTGCCAAGCACATCTCCTGGGTACTTGGAAGAAGGTGACCTGCTCTACAAATTCAACTTGCCTCCCAGTGAGCTCAGCTTCACACCTCCCTGGGCTCTCCTGCATACTCAGTTTACACCACCACAGCCCCTTCCTGAGACTCCTGTCTACCTCCTTCAATAGCACACCCAGAGAGTTCCATCCTCCGACTCCATCCTCTGAGTTGATGCCTTTTATCCCCAGTTCAGGTCTTCATCTCACAAGGACAATTGTAATCATCTCTTTTGAGACTTCTGCTGTCTTAGTCCATTTTTTGTTGCTATAACAAAATACCCAAGAAAAGGTCACTTATAAAGAAGAGAAGTTTATTTGGCTCAGGACTTTGGAGGCTGGGAAGTCTGAGATTGGGTAACTACATCTAAGGAGGTCTTGCACTTATAACATGGGAGAAAAGCGGAGGAAATGCAATTGCCTTTGAGAAACAGACATAAGGAACCTTCACTGTACAATGACCTCGGGTGTAATCAATCCAGTCGTGCCAGAGTGTGAACTCATTTCCCAGAGAATTGACCCTGCTACAGGGAGCAGCATTAATCCCTCTGCAAGTTCCCTCCACCTCTCCATGCCATTACACCAGGACCACAGCCCAACACCAGCTTTGCAGGGGACAAACTGGAGCACCTCTTAGGACTCCTGTTAACCCTTTCCTAGCAGCCCCTGGGATACCTAGGACCTGGGATCCTCAGTAGCCAGTGACTGTGGTTTTCCCTGCCTCAGCGACTCCCCTAACCCAGCAAGGTGGTAAATGGATAATTTGCTCACCACAGCTCCTCCGAAGGAGCAGGAAAGCACGAGGTTACGGGACACAGGAGGCACCCCCTCCCGGGAGGGACTTGGACTCTGCTATCTTTTCTTTCTTTTTCTTTCCTTTTTTTTTTTTCCTGCTCCAGTCTGGGCCCCAGAAATGAAAAATCAGGGGAGATGCATGGAGGGATGAGCAGAGCACCTCGGCAGCTCCAAAAGAGCCCACTCAACTCAGCGGCGGCGGCAGGAAGATGTGGGCTCGGGGCTGCGCTCCCCCGCCCCATCCCGCCTCGGCAGGCGGGAAGGGGCGCGGCCCGCGGGCGGTGGGCGGTGTCTGCTCAGCCCCAGCCCCAGGCCCAGCCCCAGCCCAGCGTTCCTGGCTCCGGCTCTTTGCTGCTTGCTGTGCCGGCCGGTAAGTGAGAGCATGGGGCAGGGAACCGGGCAGGCACCCCGGGAAGTGTGGTGGTTTGCGCGCGCGAGGATGTGCCCTGGTGCAAGGCAGCGCGTCCGCGACTGAGCAGCCCGGCCTGCCATTCTGCACTTATGTGGGGAACAGAGCAACGGCCTTTGTGCTGTCCAGCTTGGTGTGACTGTTCTTGCTCAAGATGTTTCTTGCTTTGTCCTCCCCGAGTCCCAGGAGCTGCCTCGTATGCACTGGCCCAGCCACTGCCCAGAGCTGCTTCTTGTGGGTGGTATCCCTTCTAAAACAGTGTCCAAGAAATGCTGGCCACTGCTCGGCCAGCCTGTGGGGCTGTGTACCAGGGGAAACAAGCGCCACAGGCCCTGTCCCTGTGCATACGGCAGGAAAGAGCGAGTGTGTGGAAGGTTCTGGGTGGATGATCCCCCCAGCTGTGTCCAGCGCTCATGCGTGTGAATTGGCTGGAAAACAGGAAAGGGAGGGCAAGGCAGGACAGCATCTGGACTCGGGTCTAGACTGCTGACTGTGCAAGAAAGCGTGTCCAGACGTCTCCAACAACTTCACATATGGGTATGGAAAGAAGAGAGCTCTGGAAAACTCCTAAATGCACTCCTCAGTGGAGAGTGGAGGTGGAGGGGAGGGAATGGTGGTACTGTTTGGAAGGGTAGAAAACTTTGTGTCTAATTTATGTGTATGTGGACTGTAATCAAAAGCAGTTTTTGGCATCTGGAGACCTGAGTTTGGATCAGAACTTAGTGGTCATTATGGAGTCCCAGCACTGTTCCTGGGCCTCAACCCACTGTTTTTGTGTGCATGGTGGGACCAATAACCGCGGTCCTGCTTTTCTCCGGGGCAGCTGGAGACACAAACTGGTAAATGCCTCGGCCCTTTGGGGCCATAAGTCTCCTGGGCTTACAAGGGCGCTGCTGGGCACACAGGTGTACACCAGGGGTCTGAGGAGGGCTGGTGGCCTGGAGCTGTTTGGGTGGTAGAGAGAGCCATTTGCATACTATGCCACGTGACACTCGACAGACAGGAGTGCATGTTTTTGGACTGGTGGTGCAGAAATTCCTCATAGGCCTGGGAGGTTTCCTTAGGTTTTGTGCAAATGTCTTCTGCAGCACGAAGAGAAAACTGTCATTGATGTTCTTTAAATCACCCAGGGCACCTGGACTTTCCAGATGAACCAGGGCTTCATAGCCAGTATCTTGCTTTTACATCTAGGCCAGCAAATGAAGCAGTAAAGAGCTCTCTCAAGAGTTTGCATCCTGAAAGATAGGAGGTAAAGAAGCTTGCCAGACCAAAGTCACAGATCTAGAGTATGCAAGTAACACTTCTGTCTTTTGAGATTCAGAGCTTCAAAGCCAGGGCTGGCCCTGGACCAGGCTGAGGCAGACTAAAGAGTGTCAAGACTCACATGAAGATAGCGCCAATGCCAACTCATGGCTGGTAGCTTCTCACTTTTGGTTGTCAGAGAGACTTTTCTGCACACAGTAGTTTTTAGTAAGTGCTTATGGCAGGAAAGAGCCTGGCCAAGAGATCCGAAAAAGCTAGGGTCGGGTACCATCAGAACTTTCTGCCTGCTGTGTCCTGCGGAAAGTCTGTCCCCTCATTAGTTAAAATCAGGGTATCTCCAGATTATCATTCTGATCTCAGCTTATGAACCGTCCATTCCCTCAGTACCTTTCCTGACTCCACACCTAAAGTAACCACCTCACTTCTGGTTCTCAGCACCAACATAGTAAATGCTAAAGAAATATAGTCCTGTGACTGAGTAACTCAAAAAGAGGAGGAGACCTGCATGTTTTTTTAATTGTGCTCCTTGGAGCTTTAAATCCCACAACAGGGGACCAACAGTTCAGAGTCCATTTAAGTTACCCATCAGCCTCCAGATAGGATTTCCTCTGAGGAGAGTTCTACCAAAATAAAACTAGAAAGCCATTATATCAGAGGACCTACAGGCACATTTTCAACTCCATGTCGAAATGATGGGTTTGCATCTGGACGTTGTACCTCCTTCACACTCCAGCAAGACCTGCATGGGGTTCATTATTGGAAGGAGAAAGGGGTCTTAAGGAAGTTGATTCTTGGTTCTTAGTGTCCTAACAATAACAGGATAATCAGAAAAACTAGCAAGAGTAAGATTTACTTAGAAGGAGCAACAAGAATGAGCAAAATAAGTGAAAGTCCACTCCACAGGGCAGGAGTCGGCTAATGAAATGAGATCACACTGTCCCCAGGGCCTGGTGCTGGGTCTCTTAAGGTCCCAGGGTTATGAGAGGGTATGTAGTTGGGGACTGACAGGAGTCGCGGACCAGCTGAGGACCTGACCTAGTCCACCCACCCCCTGGGATGGGGAATTTTTGACCAGACAAATTTTTAAAGGAAGTGTCCTGCTGTCCAAAGCCCACAGTGGAGAGGAGGGTAGTTTAATCCACAATTGGATTAAATGAGGATGGACTCAGGCTGGAGCCCTGTAATCTTAGGTTTGCACATACCTAGAGGTCTTGAGGGACACAGAGTGACCTTTATCTTTTGGTTTCTGATATTTTGACATAGTCACCTGATCTGTCAAGTTTCTCATTTTTGGTCCCACGAGTTTCTGTTATTCTCTCGTCCTTGCTGTATTTCCTACCTTGGTTCAGACCCCAAACTCAGATTCTGAAATCATTTCTACTCAGCCATGGAATTTGTCTTGTGGTTGTTTAGTACACTCAGTTCCATTCTCTGACCTTTGGCTCCAAGTCGATATGAAAATGACTGCACACAACGTAACAAGGGCATGTGGGGACTCTGGGCCATGTGAGGCCGGCACTGGACAGGGGAAGCACTAAGATCGGACAAAAAGCCACAGTGGCTGTGTCTGTCATTGTCCGCACTTGACTGTGTTGCCAGGCAAACTGTCCAGTTACTCAGTAGATGCCTGTCAGCATAATCTTTCTTAAATACTTGGCATAGGGACAAACTCTTCCCTGAGCAATAACTAAGCCCAGAAGCCAGCCACATGGTGGCACCGACCCGACCTGTACTTACAGCAGCTTTCTGAGGTTCCCAGGCTGACCTCTCTGTGAAACATTCTCTCATGCTGTCTCTTCCTATAAATACATTTGCAAATGGCAGCAGGCAACTGCTGTGTCCAGCCTGTGCCCAGCTTTTTGGCAGAGCATATGTTTACTGCTGCTTTTGCTAAACTCCAGAAGAATAGCACTAAAGGTCATCCTCACTATTCTGGTTTAGATCAAGAATATCCCCAAAAGCCTCATGGGCTCAGAAGAGAGGCTTTTGGAAGGTGATTGAATATGTCAGGAGCAGGATTGCTGACTTCCTGTTAGGAGGCGGGTCATTGAGGGTGTGATCTGGAAGTGTTTTTTCCCCTCCTAGTCTCCCTCTTCCTCTGTTTCCTGGCTCCCCTGATGTAACCAACCTTGCTGCGCCTTGCCCCTCTGCCATGCTGACCAGGGACTGTTACTGGGAACCAAAATAGACCTCCCTTCCTTTAGGTTGCACATGTCAGTGTTTTGTGGCAATGATGAGAAAAATGACCAAGACACCCACAATGGAGAAGTAGGTGGCTTAACTCTGCGGGATGGTGAGGTGAGAAACCATACAAAGTGGAGAGAAGGGACAAGAGTAAAAAACGGAGTCTTCTGTTGACTCCTAAGGATGGCCAACTTTGCTTCTGGAATGTGACCCTCCTGTGCACATTCTTGTGGGTTCCCAGGATCAGCAGATTTATCCCTCGGGATGGCACACAGTACAGATAGAGATGGGAAGGGATGGACAGTCTAAACACAATTCCTGTGATGAGCTTTGAACTTCCAACTTCCTGAGAAATACCTAAAGACCATACATGCCATTGAGCTCTACGTGTTGAGACCAAGCTCCGTGTCAGGAATAGAAGAAAAAACAGCTGAGCTCAGGCTTTGTGGCATGCACCCAAGCCACAGCTGGAACTCAGGGAAGGAGAAAACATGAGCAGCGGAGGCTGCCTGTGTGGGCAGCCGATCCAGTCCAGCTGTGCGTCCTGGCTCTGGCCCTTCCGCTCCACGTGATGTTGAGTGTGTTAGGTGACCTTGCTAAAGCTTCGGTTTCTCCATCTGCAAGTACAGGAAACGATCTTTTAACTCCTAGCGCATGCATGGATCCATGAGGGCTGGGTTTTGGTTTCAGTTTCTGCAGCAAGGTGCAGAACATCCAAGTGTTCCCCAAACATCTGGTGATTGTGGTAAAGGACTCTTGATGCTGAGGGGTGTGAAGTGTGACTGCTGTTCTGCTGCATCTCACACACCTCTCTCCTGGTGGGTGGTGAGAGGGTCTGTGGTCTCCTGGGGTGCCAGCCCAAATCCCTGTGTCTCCCTGGGGTGCCTTTCCAGACAGCCCTGGAGCATGGACATAGGGGAATGCAGCTGCACCCTGCAGCCTCATTCTGCCTTTCCCACTGACCCCTGAGTAAGCAAATGGCCATTCTTCAACAATTAGAGATCACTGTTGTAAATCCTAAGAACTGCAGTTTTACAGAAGGTCAGAAAAAGTGAAGAAAAATCACACTGGTGGTTTCCTTCCTTTTGAGCCAGTGAGCAGGATTCCTTCTTTGATGGGTGTGGGGTCACCCCACAGTGAATCTAAGCCTCATCCCAGCTTAGTGATCTTTCCTCCCTTCCTTCCTTTCTCCCTTCCTTCCTTCATTCCGTTTTTCCTTCCAACATGGACTTCATGTCTTTAAAGACTTTTATCAGCCAACTTTCAACACACATGAAATATTTGTTTTTCTACCTTAAAAAAATGAATCAAAGACTGTATAACTAATGGTTTAATTTTACTATTCACTGTCTTAACATTCTGCTTTATATCAATTGCATTTTTAAAACATCTGTGCAGGTATTTTACTAATAGAAACTAGTATGTTTAAAGGGCTCAACAAGGGACAAAAGTGGGCTGGTGGTATCTGGTTTATCTGAGTTCTGAAATAAATTTCAAAAATAAAAAAATTATAT